GGCAGCGGGGGCCGGCGCTTCTCCAACGTGGGGCTGGTGCACACGTCGGAGCGGCGGCACACGGTGATCGCGGCCCAGAGCCTGGAGGCGCTCAGCGGGCTGCAGAAGGCGGACGCCGACCGCAAGCGCGATGCCTTCATGGACCACCTGAAGAGCAAGTACCCCCAGCACGCCCTGGCTCTGCGAGGCCAGCAGGACAGGATGCGGGAGCAGGTGAGTGGGCACCCAGAGCGCCGCGGACGAGGGGTCTGACCTGCGCCCGGCTCATGCCAGCTCTGGGCGGCACGGTGGGCAGGGGAGGGGCCTCCAGACCTCTGCCTGCAGTCCTGGGGTTGGGGCCAGGGAGGGCCCAGCCTCCTTAATGCTGGCTGTCTGGGTAGAAGGGCAGGAAGAACCTGTCCTGGAGGCCAAGGGCGGAGGGACGGAGGGAAGGCAGCCTTGGGGACATTCTGCGCCTGAAGTCCCATCTCGTGGTGGAGTTGGGGTGCTGGTGTCTTCACCTTGTGACATGGGCCCTCAGAAGGTCAGGCCTTGGGAGCCTCAGCAGGTGGGTCTGATGTGTCCCCAGTCCCTGCAAGATTCGAGCTGGAACTGGGGCCTTTCGCCTCCTGCTGCTTGTCCCGCCCCAAAGACTGGCTGTGTGACTCTGAGCTGAGGCGCCTCTCTGTCCTGGTTTCTCTCCGGCCACCAGCAAGGCTTGGAGAGGGGCCGCCGTTCCAAACCAGGACAGATCTCCTTCTGTACGGGTGGGATGCCCCCCCTTTAATTCCCGAATGCACCCCTCCACCCAAGCCTGAGCTTCTTGTCTGTGGGAAAGGCCTCTCTGAGACCAGCCTCTGCTGACAGTCCCCCTGGGTGAGGTACCTTGATGGGTGCTGCCTTGTCAGCGGCTGAGACCTGGGCACTGTCCCTTTGGGAGAAGGGACTGTGGGGAGGAAGACACAGCTCTGCAGCACCTTTTCAATCAAGCCTTGAGTGTCAGTCCCTGTTCCCACACCTGTCTTGCTTTGTCTCCCTTCTCCTGGGTGTGGCTGGGTCGGGGAGGAGTGTCCCCACCCTCACTGCGGGAAACAGGGACACATTGGCACATTCCTGGTAACCTATCTGCCCCCTATGCCATGTCCGATTCTGTCTGGCTTTGGCCTTTTCCTAATTCTAGAGTCCTGGGAGTGGGATCTAGATGGGGACAAGGGAGAGATGCAGATGGAGATGTGGCATTCCCCCCGGGGGGGGAGCCCCTGTCCGTGGGTTCCCTTTGTGTGCTCTGGCTTGGGGGAAGGAGGAGGCACAGTCAATTGGGAGGGGGTTTGGAGGAGGGGAGATCAGGTGGACAGGCCTGATCAGGGAAGCCTTTCTGAAGGAGGAAGGACCGAAATGAGGTTTAGGTGGATGACAAGGGTTTGCACAGGCACAGAGGAAGAGGATGGTGTTTCAAGAGGCGGGCAAGGCAGTGGCATGAGCACAGGTCCGAGTGGCACAGAGGTCCTGCTGGTTGGTGCAGACGACTCAGGGTGGGAGGCTGGGGGACCTGTGAGAGTCGACTGAAAAAGTGGGTCCAGATGGAAGTGGCTAGGAGGGCTGTGGTCACTTGTAGGAGGGGACAAAAGACTGGAGGCAGGGGAAGAAGAGGAAGAGAGTGTATCAGGGTGACGGGGTCGTGAAGGGGAAGGGATGGACCGATGGGGGTTGGCGAGAGACTGAGCAAGGGCTGTTTGCTGCCTGGGTCTAGAAGGCAATGACAGGAAAACCCGGTGACAGGGAGCTGCGGGCGCCTTGGAGAGAAATAGGAGGCTTGGGAGGGAAAGGCTTGGGAGTGGGGGAGGGAGGCTTGAGGAGTGGGCAGGGCGGGCATGGGGATGCCCGTGAGTGGCTCAGGACTCCAGAGGGACCACAGCTTCAGGAGGAGAGTGGAGTATGGTCACGGCAGATGGGAAGTAGGACTCGGACATAAGAGGGGCCATCCAGGCAAAATGGGAGAGAGTCCATGATGGTCAGTGCCGGTTGGGGCAGGGGCACCAGGCGCACTCTGCATCCACGAGGACGTCCAGGGAGAAAGGCCCCTGGAGGAGAGCCTGCTGGAGGGTGGCCTGCGCCTCAGAAGTCATGTTCAGAAGGGATGGGGACAGAGACACAGTCATTGGGACTGGCCAGGGTTGTGGTGTGGAGGACAGGGAGGGCGTGTTTCTCGCGGTGTTAGGGACGTTGGGAGTGGTGAGGGACCAGGCAGAAGCCCTGTCCCCACCCCAGGCTTGTCAGGGGACATCTGGAAGCAAAAGATGAAAACAGCTGAAGTGGCAGCTCCAAGGGGCAGCAGGCCTGGGAGAGAAGACGTGGGCATGTCAAGGCCCTGGCTGTGTCTGGCGGGTTTGCCCGCACAGAGTAGGTGCTCAGCAAACACTCAGGAAGGGAATCGGAGCACAGCCCCTCACGGGTTCATCCCTTCTTCGTTCACTTACCCACCGCCTTTAGAGTTAGTGGGCAAGACCCACGGTCTCACTTGCCCTGCAGTGTCCGGGGTCTCAGCACAGTGCTGGCTCAGGCAGTGTTTGTGGAATGACTGAGGGAGAGAAGCATGAATCTGAGGCTGCTGAGGGGAAGGGGGCTGTGGTAAACAGGTCCTGGAGGAATCAGGGGGATGGATTAGGTGTGGGGTCGCCTTGGGGCAGGAAGGGGGTAGGGTCACTCCCACAGAGACATGGGACAGAAAGACCTACCGTGGAGACAACTGGGGGAGGCCCCTCCTGCCAGGTGGTTCCCGTGTCAGTGAGGCAGGCGATGCCATCCTCAGTGAGGAGGGGAGGTGATGAGAGCTGGCAGAGGAGAGAAGGCTGGGTGTGCAGGGAGGCAGGGAGGCAGTCAAGCATTGGAAAGGAGGATTTCAGGAATACCAGATAAGGAAGGCCCTGCCCTGGGGCTCAGGCAACCCCCATTGAACCGGAAAGACCCAGTCAGACACCGGCCTAGGCAAAGGACTTGTCAGCCACCAGATCTCCCCGTGTGGGAGCTCATGCCTCAGAATGCCCCTCCCCGCCCCCCGTTCACGGTCCCCAGCGGCTCCTGCCCGCTCCCCCTAATGGGGTGTCCCCCGCTTCGCACACACAGGTTGGTGGCTGGACCGTGGACCCCGTGTGCCTCCTCAGCTCTCTCTGCTCCCACCTCCATGGCGACTCTGCCCCCTCCGGGGCTGGCCAGCCGGCCCAGGTGAGTCACCCACCTCCACCCTTCCCCTGCAAGCCCATGGTGGAGTTTGGCTCTGGGGAGGATTTTTTTTTTTTTTTTTTTTTTTTTTGAGGGAGGATATTCAAGATTTTTATCTTGCATCCCATTCTTTCTCTTTGATGTGGGAGCCCTGATTTTCAGGAGACTTCCATGCCCTGTACTCATCTCCCCCCTATTGCCTAATTCCCTATCACCACCTCCCCAAACCTGGTTGGCTTTGGGGAAAGAATTTTTTGAGGGAGAATACTCCGCTTAAAACCAATTTTTTAAATATCCCTTTCTCCTTTCCGCTCTGTGGTTTTATGCCTCACTCCCACCCCAAATCATCTTATTTCCCTAGCCACACCCTTCTCTTCCATTTCTGAGCAGACCCAGCTGTCCCCTGATGTCTTACCATCAGGAAGTTCTGCATGATGTCTCTCTCTTACCCTTCTTGCTATGTTCAAGGCTTAGTGTCAAATTTGTAAGAGGATTTGGGCATCCAGCCATCTGTTCTGAGCTTGCTCCCCCCTTCCTCCTGAAGCCTCAGTGTCCCTGACGGGAAGATGATGGATCTTGGCGTAGACAGGGGCACACATAGGCAGGATACCGGGGGCCTGGGCTCCCACGAGGCCTGGACATTGCCATGGGAGGAAACAGGCATCCGAGGAGGGACGAGAGAGTCAGAGTTGCACAGAAAGGGCAATTCAGGGAGGTCTTAACTTGAGGATGTTTGGCTGTGGGTGATGGGAGGGGTTGTGGCGGGGAGCTCAGCGGGCAGCATGGGGTTTCAGTTCCTTATGCACCCTGATTCCCCTGGAGAAGGACAACGAGGCTTGACTTTTTCAAGGGGAATTGAGAGAAAGAAAATTGTGACTGCCTAGGAAGTGACAAGCCTTCAGAGCATGGCCGTTTTAGCCAAGTGTAGCCCAACTCTAGTAACAGATTGGCACGCTTGGCATCACTCGCAGGGCATGCCGCCCAATTTCCTTCCCGGCTCTCAGCCTCATCTTGGCTGAACTTCGGGGAGCAGGGTTGTGTCTATCCCCAAGGCTGGATGGCAAGTGGAATGGACTTGTCCGGACTGGCCAAGTGCGTGGGGGGGTGGGGCCGAAGCAGGGCTGGGACAGGGTAGCCATGGAGCAGAGGACAGCTGGGACGTACCCAGGCGGGTTCAGGGCCCTCCCCGGGGGTGTCTTGGGGCTGTGGTAGGGCTGGGTGGTGGACAGAAGGGAGGCTGGGCTTGGAGAGCTCGGCTGACCCCGGACTGCGTTCTAGGCCTGTCCACATCTGGAATCGGCTCTGATAGAGGAGAGGGGAGAGCTTCAGTGGACCTTGGTTGGGCCCAGGAAAGTGGCTGGGAACAGGATCTTGTGGCCACTGGGTACTTAGAGCTTGTTCCACGCCCTGCCTCCGAGGCTGAGTCTGAGGTTCCTTTTTTTGAAGTGCAGGACCAGAGATGCTCTGCAAAAGCCAGAGCCACACAGGTGGCAGGATCAGAGGTTATCAAGGAAACAGGCATCCTAGGCTGCCCAGACTCGGCTAGGGATTAAGTCCTGGGAGAGTCAAAAGCGCAAAGGGGCACGGCCTGAGCCCCTGATGGGGACAGGCTGTGGGCGCTGTCGCTGGCAGGGGGAGGCAGGACACTGTCCTCTCCCCCACTCTCCACCAGGCCAGACCTTTAGGGATGGAGACAGGAAGAGGGCGCGGGGAGGG